TTGAGTGAATGAGCTAAGCTTGTCAGGGAGGCACTAATGCATGCATGGAAGGGGGATTAAATGACTGTTCTCTAAAGGACCCAATGAAGATTAGATTTTTTTTCTTCTATGGATCATTACCATATACTTTACTACTGGGGAGAACAACTTTGGACAATTCCTTTGGACCTAATTACATCTTGATTATCTTATGGCATTTCATCCAAATCACCAGGTCTAAATACTCCCAACTTGAGCATTTTCTCAAGCAATGGGCTCTGAAAAGGCCCATCTACGTTACACTTAGGGACAACAAAGGGGTGCCTAGAATCTTGAGACTGAACATTGTTTGAACATTGTTTGTTTATCCTTGGCTATTAGGGAAGATAATTAGACAGACTTAATGAAATATATTTAAAATGTTAATGGTTGGTTATTACACAATGCTGAACTTCCAGGTAACTTTTATTTTTTACTTTATACCTTTCAATATTTTCAAATTCTATTAGTTCTGAATTACTTTTTATATGGTAGGAAATCAGCCCAAGAAATTCTTGTGAATCTTGTGGGAGAAAATTAAATTAGGAAAGTTATGAAGTTAGAAACCTTGAATCACTCAGAAATCTCCTGAGCTTTCACAACATGGATAATTCAAAGGGAGGGTTCAAAGTTGTGTACATTAGGCTAGAATCTGGTTCTAGATCTGATGAACACCAAGTAGACAAGGGTCATCTTAAGTAATAGATAGGTGCAATTAATTTTGCATTTTCTTCAACATTCCAACTGAAAACGTGCTTGTAATAACATTCCTGTGCCTCTTAACCCAGCTTTCTAACTAAAGCCTTCCTTTTAATCATGCCTGTGCTTATGACAAAAAAGAAATCTGTTGTCATGGAAATTTTAGTGTCAAAGTTACAACTCATAAACCTTTACTAAAATGGAAAACAAAACCAGAAAATGAGTCTTTGTTAAAGAGAAACTCTTAATATAGTTTAAAACATTGAAATTATGAATGACAGATTTTTCACATGAATTACACTTTATATAACAGGTATTCATGTTAAAAGTTTCACAGATATCTAATTTTGGAAAATCAAATAATTTAAAGTATAACAAGAGAACTTACAATGGATAGGAATTGCACAGGGATTCTGCTTCCATTGAATTAAACACTTATTAAGGCTCTACTACTTTATATTAAAAATTAACATTTTCATAGATTGATTTTCTAAATTTGAGCATATGTGTATAGTTTAACATGAGTTTTCAAATGATTTTTGTCATTAAGATCCAAAATGAATGGAACCAGACCTGTGAACCACTGAGTTACAGTCATATATGAGAACAGAATCATGCTCACATTAAAGATTGTTTACAGGTGTGTAGACCAATAACTGCATCAAGCTTGTCAGCCAAGAGCATAAGGAAAGAAAGTGTTTGGTTTTAGTTTATGAAACATATGCTTGCAAAATATACTAATCTTAAAAAATATTTGACTTAAGAAAGGAAATTAAAAATCAAGCAAAACCTCCTGGGTGTTCTTCCTAAGGCTCACTTTCTCTTCTCCAACCCAGAGATGATGACAGTTGGAATTTTCCATCACTCATTAACTTGTGTTTTAAAATGGTTTTAGTATACATGTATGCATCCATAAATACTAAGTAATTAATTTCCTGTTTTAAACTTTATGCAAATGCCATCTTATCCTATGTCTATAAGGCTATAGACGCCATGTGCAGCACTCCAATCTGCTTTGCAGGTGAACCCAAGTTGATAGCCATTTCTTTAGTTCTTTTATAGCTGTCTCACATCCGACCACTCATTCATTTGTAATGTCACAGTAACACTGTTCTGCATGACTATGCCATCAATTTGCTTAACCCTTCTCCATTCTGAGGGATGTGTAGTAGGTATTTTCCTTTGCTTGTTTGTTTTTTGCTATTAGGGTCTATGTATGGGCAAATATTTTTTCCACACCTCCTTTAGCACATGAATAGTGCAATATACCAAAAGCATTAGAAATCTGAAAAAAAATCACACAGACTAGCTAGGATTTGTGCGCACAGAGGAGGGCACTGCAAAGGAGAGGTAGAAATCAAGTTCTAGAATATTCTATAAATGTACCATTTCCCTTGTTAGAGTAGCAAAAAGCCCATGAAAGAAAGAAAAGAAAGAAAGAAAGAAAGAAAGAAAGAAAGAAAGAAAGAAAGAAAAAGAAAGAAAGAAAAGAAAGAAACAGTACATGAAGTTGTCAGAAAAAAGTGATGGGGAGATATGGGAGATGTTGGAGGGGAGGGAGTGGGTGTGGGTTTGATCAAAACACCTTATATGCATGTATGAAATTCTCAAAAAAGTTTTTTTAAAGTTTAAAAGAAATGTACCATTTCCCCCCTGCAAGTCAGTGAAGGAGAAGTCAGCTGGGCTCGGGAATGTGTGATTGCTTCACACACAATGAACCACACCACTGCATTTAAGCCTCTGAATGGTTGGCAGGTGTACAATTTCTAAAGCAATCTCTTGGAGACTGATAGGCCTGCTAGGGGAAGCAGTTGGGTTTTATTACCCATGCCTTACCTACAGGTCATGGATCCCCTTCCTATGTTTCCCTCCCCTGTAGTGCAATTCTTCTTTCCTTTCCTTTGCCTCCTGCCATTCTCTGTTATAATGACAAAAATAAAAAAATAAAAAAAATCACAGGTGTCGGCTATCAAGAATTTTCAGATGCTGTATATTGTTGTTGTTGTTTTTTTCTTTTAAAGAAGTTGCAGATTTGTAATTTGGTCTTTACAAAAACTGCAAGACATTTCTGGAAATAAACATAAATTTCATCCTGGTAGATTTTGAATTTTCTTTTTGTTTGTGCTTCAGGCCAGTTCATTGTTTCCTCAGTGCCTGGCACACAAAGTTCCCACTTCAACTAGTCAGTGTTAGTCTTATTTTAGAAGAAACATGGAATTTCTAGAATGACGGCTTAAAAGCAGGCAAAACAACACCCAATAATAACAGCATCTGTAAATAACAGGAAGTGTAGGGACCATTTTTAAATACACTGAAGTGCTGTATTTGCTGTAATAGTCGGATGGGACCTGCCATCCTCACAGGAAATCTACTGGCTTAGATAACATTATCTCTTACCATTGCCACATTTCTTAGACCATCCGTTTAAGTCATCAAGTCACTTTAAAAAACGATCTGGATTGAGGCTCAGCTATGTCTTACTCTTCCTTGACTTACAAATTACACAGAGCCATGGACTGTGAGCAAGTGTAGAGACAACCAGCCTAACACTGAAGAGCTCACATTCCTCAGACAGGGTTTAACTCCTGGCTCCCTCTAAATGGCCCTGATCACTGAGCAAGTGACCTAGCTGCTTTACACATCTGTTTCCTCTTCTGTAACCTGGAGTCAGTAAGACAAGGTGCATTGTGGTCATAATTCTTATAAGGACAAAGGGACATAATTCATATATAGTTACTATTAACATGGTACCTAGCATGGTAGATAGCCCAAAAGGGTGAGCAACAAAGGCAGTGGTAAAGGTCTTTTTGTGGTATCTTTGTGTTCTTTCTCAGAGCTCTGCAGACCCGCTTTGCCTAGATCACAAGCAATTCTCCATCTTCCCACTCACTCAACAAATACTAGAGGCTTCTACTAAGTGTCAGACATTTGTTATGGGGTTCTAAAAATGCAGCATATAGTTTTATATTCATTAATATTAACAAAATCTTTTAATATTTTGTTTATTATTTTTATTTTATGTGAATAAGTATATTGCCTGCATATATGTAAGTGTACCCATGTCATGCAATGCTTGCAGAGTTCAGAAGAGGGTGTTGGATTCCCCTGGAACTGGAGTTACAGATGGTTGTTAGATGCCATGTGGGTGCTGGGAATCAAACCTGGGTCTTCGAGAGGAGTCAGTGCTCTTAACTTCTAAGCCATCTCTCCAATCCTGACAATAAAATCTTTAAAACATCTAGTTAGCAAAAGATTAACAGAGAAGGATGAAAGATAAGCATATTTCATTGTCGGAAACTAACAAGAGGGTAAAGTGAATGGCCCTAATTAGTTGTTTAGTATGTCATACTTTTCACAGGCGTGCTAAATGTATAGCTAGATTAATCTGCTTGATTTTCTTGGCCCTTGATGGCCAAATTTTATGTAATGTTAAAATTCCCGTATTTACAAACCTTCCAGAGCATTCTCTATCCCAGCAGATATTCATAAACTCAACCTGGAAGCCTTTCCTATGGAACAGCCATCACAATCTAAATGGCTTCTCTGCTTGAATCAAATTCCATAGGAATGTGTAGTCCTCAAGCAGGGCTTTTATTCCTAAACTCACTGGTCAATGTCTTCTTTCTTTCGTTGTGACATGGCTTCTGTAGGTCTTGCCTTTTATTTCCTGTCTCCCATCATATCCTGCATGTGTATCTTTCTTGGAGTCTAAGCTGCCATTCATTCTGGATTTTCCTTTTTCTTATTCAACATTTACTAATGTCAGGAACAAACACTGTTTGTCCACGCTAACCTACCTCTAACAGTTTCTTATACTCTACTGTTCCTACCCCAAGTCTTCATTCTAGTTTATCTTTAGAGCAAATATCCCTTTGCATCAACACTGCACAACTTCCAGACAGGTAGCAGGTAAGACCTTCACAAATATACCATATCCTTTTCATTTTATACCTCTGTTCTCCTCTAGTGTTCCTGCTGCTAGCAAATGTTAATAGGAAATATTAAAACACCCAAGTTTTTCTTATCCTTAGCTGCCTTGCTAAAGCTTCATTTCTATTATGTAATATCACAGGGAAATTTGAATTATCTTCTCTCCAAACTTTGGAACTTTATGGATGTATACACCTGAAACCTTGGGTACCAACACAAAGCCGTTTATTCTCTTTTTTATTATCAAGAGCAACCACCTAATATACCATTGCTTTATAAAAGAAAGATCACTAAGAATTGGGAAATTCATAATCCAAGAATAAAGAGAAATACACTAAATCCATTTGGCTTTAGAGAAACACATTTATTTTGCTTATTTCTTGATTATTTTATTTCCAAGAATATCCAATCATATATGAGTCTGTAAAGGATTAGTATGTGAGATTTGAGATTGTTAGATGCTAGATAAACAGAGTGAAATGTGCACAGTCCTCTTCCAGTACACTAGAGAACTGGCACTACCCCAAGTCTCTCATTTCATCAGGTCTTCCTAATACCTTGTTGTGCCAGTTCACTTAGTTTGACACCTAGCAGTCATGTAAGATAGATACTCATAGCCCCATTCTACAGATAAACAACATTTCTCAAAATTATTAAGAGGAATTATTAAGTGGCAAAGTTGCTATCTAGACACAGAGCTACAGAATTCCAAAGCAGGTGCAAGAAAATTGAATGCACTGGTACCTCTCAGAAGTAAAACATAGAAGGTCTCAGAAGTAAAACATAGAAGGTCTAGTCTCCTACAATGTTCTTCCTAAGACAAATAAACAAGCTTAACATAAAATATTGGTATTTGAAGAAAAAAAAATCCACAAACTTATTTCAAACCAAGAAAAACAATTAATTCCACTCTACAGTTCCCATGTAGGAGAATGCAAAAGATGGTTAAGGAATTATTGACACCACCCAGTTGAAAAGGCTCCCTCCTGATACAATACAACCATTAGCAAGATCGAAAAGTCTCTCCAGGCTGAATATGGAAGGCAGGGAGACATCAAATGGGACCTGGAATAAAAAAATAAATAAAAGTGTGTATGAGATGCATTGTTTCAGACTACTAACTGAAGCAAAATTCTCAAGTACAAACTTCATATACCAATTTTATATGAAAGGTAGCCTACTTTCGTGTGTAAGGTAAGGTGTGAAGCTTTGGATTGCCACACTAGTGAAATGTCACATATTCTATGGGCATTTGAAGATCAGACTATAAAATATCACATACTTCTAAGAATAAGCACTACTTTCATTTTCATAATTCCTTCACATGATTCTAAGCATAGGACTTGTGACTGTCTTTATAAGAGATGGGCCCATTGAAAAATATCTCTTTCTCCTTCTGAGCCTGGGTCCTGACAGTCATGGGGACGCATGAGGATCCAGGTTTAGAGACCACTTTGTCTGAAAGAGGTACCAAATTGCTATGACTGAGAACTGGTACAGCCAAAGCCATTCTGAACAGGCTAAAACTGGTAAACAAAGACCCATTCTGTGGTCACAGTACAGGTTATGAGAGACAGAACAAAAATGACTGACAAGAAATGACTGTTTCCTGGAGACCCACTGCATACTGATTCAATTAAACACTTTGGGCAATGAATGAGCAAATTCCACAAAGTGTGACAGCAATGAATTCAGAGTGCTGAGGGTTTGAATCCCAGTTTGAAAGTAGAGGACAAGTTTTATTCATTTCTTGTCTGCTTATTAAATAAGCCATCCATTCCTTTATTCCCAAGAAAACATAATGAACCTAAAGAGGATGCTGAGTTTGGCTAATGTTTTCATTTCTTTCTTCTTTTTTTCAAAAAAGTACTTTAAATATTTTATTATTTTTTATTTTTATTTTATGTGTATGTGTGTATTGCCTGCATGTAGGTAAGTGCACCCGTGTCGTGCAATACCCGTGGAGGGCAGAAGAGGATGTTGGATCCTCTGGAACTGGAGTTTCGGACAGTTGTTACCTGCCTTGTGGGTGCTGGGATTCAAACCTGGGTCTTCTGCAAGAACAGTCAGCGTTCTTAACCGCTGAGCCATCTCTCCAGACCTTTATTTCTTTAAATAAAAATATTTTTAGAATTTCAGACATAAAGACACAAATATATATGTATATCACACATAGATGGATATGAAACTAACATTTTCTTCCTTAATTGAATCTTTTGTAATCAATGCTTTCAGATTGGGAAAAGTTCTATGTGTTTTTTACTTTTCTTTTATAAATGAAATCTTGTATTTCCATTAGTTGCATATTTAATCAACAACCCCTGGGAGAAAGCCCTCCTTAATTCAGGGAGGTGAATAACTATGAGAAGGCTGAGAGAGTGCCTTCTAGAATAAGACAGACTGATTTAAATTAAAGATTTGATCTTGTTTGAACTTTAATTTCATGATCCATAAAATAGAAATGATAGCAGTTCTTATATTGCACTGTTGCCATAAAGGTGGTGTGTGTATGTACAAATGAAACACTTCAAATGGTGCCTAGCTCACGATGACCACTCACTAAAGGCTACCATTGTTGAGCACATCCTTTTTAATGGCTGTTTCAGTTCGTTGACCGACCATCTGATTTAGCCTACCATACTCCAGACTGTTCTTGGGTATGTGTTTTTTAAACTTCTGTACTACTGAATGTCCAAAGTTGTTTTGTTTAGTAAAAAGATGTTTACCTTTTACATTTTAACATTTATTATAGAGATGAACTATCTCATGTCCAATTTTGTGTCTCTATGTGATACATATATGGAGGTGTATGTGTCATTGTGGGTGTGTGTGCATGTGAGTGCGAATGTATGGGGAAGCTGGAGGTCAGCCCTCCAACTTATTTTTTGAAACAAGATTTCTGACTGACCTGGTGCTCACCAATGAGGCTAGGCTGGCTGGCCAGTAACCCCAGGGATCGCCTATCTCTGTCTCACTGGTGCTGGGATTACAAATGCATATCTCCAATCCAATATATATATATATAATAAACATTTCATTATAGCTTTAACACACTCAGTAACAGTTTCCAGAGCAAAGATACATATCTTTCAAAAGTGGTTATAAAGTTTTAGGTTCACAGTTGAATTAATAGAGTTATACAATATTGAACTCAGTATAAACCCTGTAAGACATAAAATTGAATGATATTTTACCCTTTAAAAAATATCTCCATTTCATTTTAAAATACACAGTTTCATACAGAAAAATTCATTTTTAATACAACTGACACTAAGATGTATATGCATTTCTAATCTCTATATATATCTGATTATTACTAGTCACAGTTGGTTACTTTCTGAGCTCCTTAGCATCTGAGAATGGATATAAAGTCATCAGGTAAATTTCAATGGTAATGTTTTTCACATCTACTAGTTATTAAGTAGCAAATTTTTATGTTTTGAAGAATTATTTTTTGTAGACCAACTTCCCAGGTAGCACCCTACCATAACCTCCCTTCCTTGACTAGAGACCTTATACTCTGGTATCCCTGCTACTGTCTGCTGTGTTGTCGGCACCCCCAGCCATTCCCCACTACTTGTCCTTCTGGTGAATCTAGGCA